AACTAGGGATGCACAGATACTTTTCGAGTACCAGTGCAGATACTTGGCATTTTCATGAGAACTACCAGGGCTGCAGCGGTTGCAGCTGGGACCTGGCTCTGGCACTCCACCACTGTCCTGAAATCATTAGTCTGTATTGTTTTAGAAAAACTGCCACATGACAATAAACAAAAATGTATCAGTACAGGTACTTGTAAGTACTCGACAAGTACCAGTACTCGCAAAACTGGTATCTGTGCATCCCTTTATTTATATTTATAAAAACAAAATCGTACATTAAAACAGAGATGTACAAATCCCAGGAGCTCTGTGTGCTCCTTACAAATGACAGCTGCCTCCTAATTTTTGAATTTTTCTCTAGTGTAGTCTTGGAGCTCAAAAGTACCTCCGAAGATGCTACAATCCACCTTATGCTGACACCAGATAACTAATTATACATCACAGCACTGAAGCCATCATCCCTAAGATTTATATTTCCTGATCACATCTACTGAAAAGTTACATGTTAATGGAAACATCTGATGGATGAAATGTTCTAACAGAGTTTTGAAGTAACGTCTCTTTCATTGTTGCTTCCAAAACTACCAGGCTATTTACATTCTTACCCTTGAGGAATAAACTGAGCATGCCATTCCTTATTTGTAAATGTTAGTTGGGTTCACTGTGTTTTGGCATCATCTGTCTTCTATAAAGTCGGTGTATCATGTACAGACTTCTTTATTACAATAGCGGAGGTGCTGGATCTGTGATTTAGACACTGAAAAGAAATGTATTTACATGTCATGGGGGATTCCTCGCCTAGTTTTCCTTTTAACCCAGTGTTTTCAAGTTATAGATGTTTAGGATGGGGCAGTGAGTTATACTGTACATGTAATCTGCACATAATGATGAAGCTATCCTGTCTTGTTTTGTCCTTTTTCTCCGAAATGTCATATTTGTTAAAGAGGATTGACTTGTCCCTCCATACCTCCTGTGCATTCCTTTTGGCCAGTGAGGCTGACCAGGTGTGGAGGTATGGCTTAGTGGAAAGGTTTGACACTAACTAGAAGTGTGCATGCTTTGCCTTTTAGAATGGCTTGGCATTCAGCCATGAGAGGAAAGTTTGGATAACTGCTTCAAATATGCACAGGTACCTGTAGGTGCCTGCTTTTGCTAACCACAGCAGTTTGCCCCCTTTGTCCTAGACTATATGGACAAAAGATTGTGGACACCTGATCATTACACCTACTTTATGGACAACAAATGTGAATACCACTCCACTGTTTCCAGTGAAGGGTACGAGTCCTGTATAGCATTCAAAGACATTCTAGACAACTTTGCACTTCCAACCTTTTAGAAGCAGTTTGGGGAAGAATCCTTTCAATTTAGTATGACTATGAACAAAGGCAGTTCCATAAGGACATTGTTTAATAGGTTTTGTGTGAAGTGCTGACTCCAAGCCAGGCTTTCTCATTCAACAACAGTACCAGACATTCCAATTACTTTTCTGCCTGAATAGACAAAATATCCTACATATACATTCCAAAACTCTTGGGGAAAGCCTTCCAAAGAAGTGGAGGCTAGACAGCAGATAGGGCAACTCCTTATTAATGGTTTTTGAATGGGATGTCCAACAAGTTTATGTAGGTGTGATGGTTAGGCATTCACTAACTTTTATCCATATAGTATATATTTACATTACTGGCATATACATTTCTTTTCTGTTTAGTAAGCCATGATATAATGTGATACATGAGTAAACCTGTACTATTGTTGATGGTTATGGTAAAGACTTTCATTTATTTACTTATGTATTTATTTTACAAACAAGCTCCAAGCTACATTGGAGATCTCTGCTTCTAGTGTAAATATCTCCTTGCAGATAAGTTTTGTATACACATCTTCTAAATGCATGCAATTTTTACGACTGGGTTCAGCCCAGTTGTCAAATGCTGTCCTATAGGAGGGGCCTACCAGATGGAGCAATCCAAATAAATGCTCCTGAGATATCAAGCATGATGAGATGCTACTGGTTCATATTAGCATGGCTCACAACCACACAAAGTAAATGTGGTGCTGTCATTATGAGTATGGAACTTGTTTGTTCCATTTCTACTATATGGTCCTAATGTTAGAGAGAGGTCTATGATTGCTCGAGACACCTTCTGAGCTCATTGTTTTAATGTCTTTGTGAATGATAATTAAAACAGTGTTAAGATTGTTAAGACTGTCTGATGAACATTGTCAAATGATAGCGATCACCAGCTGTGGGCTAATGTGTTTTGCTTTCGACCTTTTGACTTGGCCCAAAGATGTTAGTCATAGTCTGTTCACAGGAGATACATGAGTGTGAACTATCTGACTATCCATATACATACATCGCATGTGAGCTGTAGCGAAACCTCCTCCTGTGTTTTTCTGTCACTCTTCCAGGAAATGGTATTGGAGCTTTGTCAATGGAGGGTAGAGCATAAACTGGCTACAGGTATCAGCTCATGGTATCAGGTCCCATCTTTCACTGGATATTTCAGATATGCCTATGGTGATTGACTTCTATAAAAAAAAAAAAAAGCACAAAGAGAGCTGTGCCATGAATGTTCTGCTATACTTCCGGAAAGATAGTTTTCTAAAAGTAAGAAGCCTTTTTCCACTGTTTTGTTGTTTATTTTCTTTTACCTAGATGCAGGATTAGGTAAAGTGGCAATTGCAATTAACATAATAAATTATTTAACACACACATTACAGTATTGGTGTATGTTAAAAAATCTGAGGGTTTAATGTCACTTTAATGGAAATTAAAATTTCTAATAGGGAATCATATGCATAAAATACACAAAACATTTCCAGAACAAATTTCTTAGTGTTACTCCCATATACGGAAATGAATCCAGTAGTGTATTCCTAACATCCTCAACAATCTCTTTGTGTTTGGCATGAAAAATAACAACATTATATTTCATTCATACTTTAACAAAAGCAGAGATAACCAAAATAGTCTGGTCTTAACAGTCTACTATATAACTAATCTGTGTTGCTTAGTTGTTTTATATTTGTTTGGAATGGTGCACAGTGCTTTTGATTTGTTTTGTAATTTATTTGCCTTTGTATACTAACTGGGGTTTAAAGTATAAATGGACAATAAAATAATACATTAATAATAAATAGTATTTTCTAACCCACTCTTTTAGTCGTGTGAGCATTGCTGAGAAGCATAAATGATGCAGTGAATAGTGTGTTTTTTATATTTAAAGTGAGCCTATGGCCAGGCTATGGACATTTTGGTACTTTGGTACATATTATCAACGAGTAGTAAATGAGCTTTAAAGTCAAACCTTACTGACCTCTATAGCTGCAGACACTGTGGAGCAATCCATCCTCAAAGTTCACAGCAGACACCATAAAGTCTTTCAAGTCATTCTGTCAGCAGATTAGGTCACGCTGCTCCCCATCGCTGCATGGATTTAGCAGTCTTCCAGCCTTTTAATCTCTAATGTAATAAACAACAAACCAGCTTCAGGAGCAGTTAAATTGAATCTAAAGCCAAAACTTTTTGTTCAGTTTTGGAGGGAGTAACGAAAGGTTAAAACTCCATCATATATTTTTCCTGTATGTGTCCAACTGGTAAGGCACAGTAGGAAGTGGGGTAAAAATTTCCTCAAAGAGTAGGGATCCCCTTTTATACAGTGATAGCGTCCCCATTGGAAGATAGTCCAGCAGGGACACAGATAACAATAACAGTTCACAAGAAATTAAATACTCCCTCACTATGATGGATTTACAAACATATGTCCCAGGAGCGTAATCAGCCTTTCACAGTGGTTGTCAAATTAGGAAATATATATAGATTTTTTCCCCCTGCCACATACAGCTGAAAAATCCCTGATAAAAAGCTGTGAACAAATAAATTGCTAAGCAGATAGATGGACAAATTATCAAAAACAGAAAAGCTCTGGTCAAAGAACAGTTCTAGTACAACAACCAGCTGTACGAGACATCATTCTGTGAAATATGAATTTCAAAATAATATAGCTGAGCTAAGGGCTTGTTCACGGTACATCATACATTGTAACACGCGTGTTATAACATGCACAACAGCATCACGCAATAAAGCACTGTACATGTGTGTTGCTGTGTGTTGCCATTCATTCATAAAGTAGTACTAAAGGGTGGGCGTTTTTTACCTTAATGCATTTTCTGCATTAAGGTAAAAAAATGCCCAGTACCTTTTTGTGTCCCCCTGTCCCACTTACCTGTGAAGACTTGTCACTGCCACTGGTCTCTGAAGCTATCCTCAGTTCCCTGAACTTCCTGGTTGCTGGGGAGGATACTGAGGACAGAGGTGCCATAGGCTCCTTCTGCTGTCAATCTGTTGGGAGGAGAGGAGGGGCATGGACTGACACATGCTGTGTGTGTCTATGGACGCACACAGCTACTTGCGGGCACGGCCGGGAACGTGCACGCCTGGGTGCCTCCTCAGCATCCGGCTAGCTGCTGGAGACACCCGCACAGGGGGCGGGAGGGAGAACGATGCAGGGACCAACTAGAGAATGAGGAACTGAAACATTTTAAACAAAAAGAATGGGTGATTTGCATAAGTGTGGGCCTTATATACATAAAAATAAAAATAAAAGTTTAATATCACTGTAAACGATGTTTAAACCCAAGAGCAAAAATAGTAATATACTGCACCTTACCTGTTGTTAGGTATAAATGTTCTGTGCATGGTGGTGCACTGTATTGTACACAATACTGCAGCTGCTATTTTTTGTGCATTGAGGTGTTGACTACCCATTCAAAAGCAATGGCCTGCCTAATGTAACCTGCATCAACGCGCCCAATGTACACAATGTGTACACACCAATGTTCCTTACAGGAGATGCACAATCTACTGTGAAAGGTTTTGTCAACAGGTATAATCATAGAGTTCATTGTTGCACATATACTAAGGTTCATTTTCTTCGACTTTAGCTAGTACCTTATATTTTATCAGCCGCTGACATTCTTCATTCTGTTTATTCCAGGTTCGTAGCAAAAGCAAGGCCTCAGTTGCTGGATTGTGTGTGGGAGATGAGGTGATCTCCATCAATGGGAATCCTTGTACTGATATTCCCTACTCAGAAGTTGTGGGGCTCATTGAAAAATCAACCGATAGTCTCCAGATGTTTGTGAAAAGGTAACAACTCATATTCATATATGTCACATAACTGCTTCTTGCTTCATGTAATCCTAAACTACCTATTGGGCAGCAAACTAACCCTAAAGCTGAGATTCTGTAAAACATTCCAAAAGCACTATTAGGCCCATTTCAGACAGGCAGCCTGATCAGGATTCCACGAAAAAAACAGACCAGCGCCAAGTAGAAACCTCCTCCAGCCCCAAAATGTTTCTTGCAATCCAGGCAGGCTGCCCCGTAACAGACAAGGGATGTCAATGCATAAAACATGAAAAAAAAAATATATATATATAAAAACACCGGGTGCCTTCCCTGGTGCAAATATTCATTTTATTGTACAAAAAGAAATGTGTAAAGGATTTTACTCACAAGGGAGGCAGGTTAGAAACGTATTGGACATAAAATCCTAGAAGACATTCCAAGTGAGGAAATCAAGGAAGCAGTCAGAAGGCAATCCAAAAGCTCTGCTTAAACCAGCAGGAACAAGCTGACACAGCTGAACGCGTTTTCGGGGATAACCACCTTCTGAGAAGCTTTGAAGAAGTGGATTATCCCCAAAAACGTGTTTTTGTTTTTTTAAGTCTGATCAGGATGCCTAATGTAAGTCTATGGGCAGCTAGATCTAAACGGACGGGTATCCATTTACATTCAGTTTCCCCTGGCAATGGCCAGGTCCGGAAAAACAAACAGAACAGTTTTCCATCTTGCCGGGCCTAAATGTGCCGGATCAGGGGAAATCTGATGTAGTAGGACCCACGTCCATTTACATCTGATTCCCCATAGACAGACATGGGATGTAGTCATTTCATTTTTTTCCTCCATCACAAGACAGAGGAAAAAACTGGACAGACAGTAACATCCGATCATTACTTCTCCAATCAGGAGAGGATCCATGCATGGATCCCTCCCTGATCGGACAGTGTGAAAGGGGCCTTATCCTTACCTATCCTCCTGTTTGTTAGTGCTTGTGTAGAAGAGCTCCTGGCAATGAGCCTATTTCACAATTTTATGTGTGTAGAATAGCTGGTCCCCCTCAGACTACTGTGGTTCCTCCTGCTGACACATACATTATAACTGTGTCCTGCAGTAAGCCTTGGTCAGCAAGAAGAGCCACAACAGCCAGTGGGAGAACCACTATTTGATCAGTCCAAGAAGTCAAATAGGATCGGTGATGGCAAATCTACTACAGAGTGTTTTATCTTTTATATAAAAAGGTGGTTTCCTGGGCCTAACCTTGCTTAGACAGTGGTTATTAGGTGAAAATAATGTTATATAGAAAGAATATTTCTACTAATGATAGAAAAAAATTATCAGGGTTATTCACTAAAGGGTGAAGAGTTTGGAGAAGGCAGGAGAAGTGAACAATCTAGGACAACATAGTTGAGTTGGAAAAATTCTCCAATACAGCTCACTTTCCAGATCAGCTATGTTGTTCTAGATTGTTCACTTCTCCTGCCCTCTTCAAACACTTCATCCTTTTGTGAATAACCCTGTATGTGATCAACAGTGGCGGAACTACCAGGGTCGCAGAGGTCGCGGCCGCGACCGGGCCCTGGAGTTCGGCCACTTGGAGGGGGAATAATTACTTTTAACCTCTGCTGTCTAGTGCTAAATGCCTACTGTTGCTAATGCTAAATTTGACCCCAAAGAGATACAATATATGTGTTATGTATCATCTAGTTCCTTATTTATTATATTAAGCAACAGAATCCACTATTCCATTGTTTAGCAGACTCAGAACAGTGAAGACTTAATCACACCAATGCATTGTGGTAATGTACATTCACTATGCATGTGTTATTGTGTTGCAGTGCCAAAAGGCACCCCAATGCACTAAAGGAACACCTCTGTGTTGTAGCACACTGCAATGCATGATAACACACAACTGTATGGTGCTGCTTTACACTGCATCAAAAAAATGGTTCAAGTCCTTAGTGCAACACATAATAATAGGTTTTCATTAGTGCACCACAACAAACCAGATAGAGGTGAATTGGTACTAAAAGATACGAGAGCAAGTCAAAAATTATCCGCACTATGACTGTAGAATTTATTTTAATCAACTTTTAGAAAAGACAAATACATCGTTTTTCGACATATTTTCCTTGCTTTTCTAAACACTTTATCCGTCTGTCAACAAGCTTTCGTATTCCCTCATTTCAAAATGTTTTAGGCTGAGCTGCGAGCCACGAATGCACCGCTGTCTTCACTTCTTCATCAGAGGTGAATCTTCATCCTCGTAGGGCTGCTTTATGCTTTTGTCACTAGTCTATTCGACAGAATCATTCCACGTGTGCGCTCAATGTTGTCATCAGCCGTGTACGTGGACGGGCACCCGGCTCCTTCCTGATGGCTAACACGTGTGCGATCTTCCTTGAACTTCTCTATCCATTCATACACAAGCGACAAAACACTTTCTCCATACTGCGCACAAAGTCTTCGATAAATAACGGCACCAGGCATACCCTCAGACAAATCACTGCACGCTGCTCTTCTTTAATGCAAATCATAAGTAGGGCATCTTTTTTTTCTCGCATTGCAGATACAAATGAACTGATGTAACACATTCAGACCTGCACAGCAGTGACTGGGGAGACAGTAGCATTAAACGGAAAGTGCTGCCAACGGAAGCTTTAATATAACCAGAATGTGGATAATTTTTGACTCACCCTCTTACATACTTAAAGGCTATCATGGTTTGTTGCATTGTTCCATTGCTCTTACTTTATTAAATAAGGGCCATAGTATTTTCATACAAACTAATCTTCAAATACCAGTTATATTTCATGAAGTTCCATTTGTAAGCAGTTGCATCAGTGGTATCCCACTTTTGGTGTTAATTTATCTGCTCCTGCACAATGCCTGGGTTTCTTCATTTCTCACATCAGGAACTTGTCATCTATACTCCTGTTAGCAGCAGGCAAGTAGTATGGTAAGTGGCAAGATCAGCGTCTGTGATATACATACATCAAGTGGCTATGAGATATTAGCCATACTCTGTGACTCTAAATGCAACATCTGAGTAGTATACCTATCATTATTTTAATGTATATTAAACCTTTACACAATTTATCAAGATGAGTTTAAATGTAGCCTTGTCTGGATGTGTCTACATGAACAATATGTCTTGTTCAACCATTTTTTTTTGCTAGTATTCAGGTTATATCTACATCCTAGTTCCTTAAACACATTGAAGGGAATTGATCAAAACTGGAGCAGACAAAATCTGCTGTGCATGGCAACCAATCAGCTTCTCTCTTTCATTTTCAAATCTTAACTGAACAAACTGAAGAGAGAAGCTGATTGGTTGCCCTGGGCAACTGCTCCAGATTTTGACTGCTCCATTTTTGATAAATTCCCCTCATTATGTTTCCCTGTTCTGAAGTTTGTTACCATGTCCTTTGTCAGACTGATTTAGGAATGGGATAGTATGCTTTATAACTATTTGCGGTAATCTCAGTTTTCTCATTTGGAAAGCTGCAGTATTTGCACCCCTCAATATGTAGATAAACCACAGGGCACAGCTCACCGACAATGTAACTCCTGTTCTAGGGGATGCCTAAAAGTTGCTTTGTATCTCAGTACAGACTACTGAAATAAACAGTGAACCAACCACAATCAACCAATCCAAATCACGAGCACGAAATACAGTTTGTTCTATAAATTGTCCTGTATAAAATTACACTGTTAATTAGGTCTGATTGGGGTTAAACATTGATTACATATTAATACATATTATTCAAAAACAAATAAAAAAAAAACGAAATTATGTCATATGCGGATTAAAGGTCAAGACATTCATCTACATATGAATAAAGAAAAAGTAAAAACAAGGTAACAATTAATTGTTACACTGCATTATGCAATGACACTTGCAGTACTTTTCCAAAACTTTTACAGTTGGTATACAAAATGCAGAAATAAAATACTTTATATTTATTGTACAACCACTTTTTAATAATAATATTAAATAA